CTTGGTCATCAGCCGTACGGCTATGGCGCGGCTTTGGTTGCCCGGTGGGCTTGCTTTGTTGGGTTTTTTTTCCCCCCTCCCCTCAAAAACCCACGGAATTTTCATGTTGCTTAACTCGCCATGTCCTCCTAAGCCATAAATATTAGAAAAAAAAAAGTTTGAATTCTTTAAAAAGAAACTGCTATCAGAGTTACCCAAAGTTGATGGAAGCGGCCTCTTCAGTTTGTGACGAGCTGTCTGGTACTGGCGTTGTGTGGGTCTTGTTTTTGTGTGCCTGTGGTACCAGCTCCAGGGGAGACAGTAAGTAACCTCGATGGAGGGAGGAGCGGGCGGGAGGCTTGGCATGGCTCGCTTTAGGGGCAAATTAAACTGCGTAACAACTCGGCAAAGTTTTTCCAGGAAGGGAGCTGGCTAAGGGAAAGGAGGCTAAGTTCTTTTCTTTCTTTCTTTCTTTAACACTGTAGCTGTTATCTTAATAGCAGACCCTATATTTAACACTGCAAAAGTAAGAGATATCAAAAGTAGCATGTTTGGGGAAAAAAAAAAGTGAGTTATGATGACTCATGCTGTCAGTGCTCGTGTGTCAAAATTCAGATGCACCGTTACTGTTCATAATTGCTATGTATGCTTCAGTATTGTAAAGGTAATCCACAATGTATATTTGGAGCTAATGCTTTTCTCGGGTTGTAGTTTCTCCTGCTAGATTACTCCTCTTTAAGCATGTGAATATATGCAATCTTTGGATTTAACTTTATGTATGTGAGTAGGCCTGTAGTGTTTTCATACTGCCTACAACCATGATTTAATTATCTGTTTACTTTTAATTGTGAATTAGGATTTACATACATAATAATAAGAGCAGGCATAGTGCTTTCACATAATGATTCTTTTTTAAGATGGCGAACATGTGAAAATTAAGAATCTTTTTTCAATTACATGTTCCTTGTTTCCATTGCTGAATTTTGTTCATACTTGTACCTTTTTTTCCAGCTTTAACTTTTTCTTCTCATACAATTTTTAACCTTCATCTGCATGTCAAGTAGCAAGATCATTTCTCAGTTAGAACTTATCTCCTCCTTTTCATCTCATGTACAGCACTGAAATGATCTGTTCTATTTGGGAAGTCCCTAGGAGGGTTCATGTTTGCATGCTTTTATGCTCCCTTTCTCCTTTCTGTCTTAAATTGCTTGTAAGGCTGTGGCTTAATCCCTTAGATGAAATGGTACCTTTGGGAATTTGATCAAAGCATCAAGGATATAACTTACTTTGCACATGAATACAAAAGTAGTTACCTACCCTATTAGGTCCAGAAGAAGAAAGAGGGAAGGGACAAAAAGTTCATTACCTCCAGTGTTTCACTGAACTGGAAGGTGTTGGGCTTCTAGCGAGGGGTCATTGCAGTTTATTGTAGAAGTCATTTACTAAAAATACTGTCAGACCATTTCAGAGATCACATGTTGGGCTGATGTTTTTGATATATTAATTCTGTTGTATTAGATGCTTTCATAATAATTTTGATGTATTGATCTTTTAACAAGATAGGAATCAAAAAGTTTGAAATAAAAAAACATCTGTAGAGGAATTAATTTAATCAGATTTGTGTCTAGTTATGTATTCGTATATGCATGGTCTGTCAATGAGCATCTTCATGTTCTTTTATGATTCCCGTAAGTTGATAAAACATGCTTATGAGATAGCACTGTGTATATGTAATAAGGTGATTTTTGATGGAGCTTGTTTGACAGTTGCTTCACTATAGCTTTCTATTTAGGTCTGACCTTCTGCAACTTGTTTTTAGAATGAGTCAGAACTATAGCTTGCCTGAACAATTGAAATGGAAAAAAATGCTGCGGAGTTGAGAGTTTACTTCCAGCGTTTACAGCAGAACTAGAATTTAATTGTCCAGAGTCATAAAACCTAAAACACAGAATAGGTAAACAGCCAGGACTTCCTTTGTTGAAACACACCGCTGACTCTTGGAAATTGCTCGTTGTTACAGGTTTGTTGGTTGTGTCAAAGCTCTGGTGTTAGGTAAGCAATTGCTTTTAATGTGGGATTACAGTACTTTTCATGATTCAGAATCCTAAAGTTCTTTCTGTTTTTGTTGCTAGATCAGATTTTCTTGCCAATTCTCTCATATTTCTGTGTATTTCTTGTTGTTATGCAGTATAACTAAAGTTTTAGTCTCATCTTGTTTTTTTTTTTTAATTCAGACCTCACAAGTTTTTCTTTTTGAGGGTATGAGACAGATGGTAGCATAAAGTGTTAAGTGAGTTGGCTTTACAAAGAGTCTCGGGCAATCTGATGTGCTACTTCCAGATAAAGTGTATGAAATACACATCAAAATACAGTTAGAATAAAGTACAGAGGTCTCTCCTGGTGCATCCAGTCTTATGTTTCCTAGCATGTGCAGGGCCACGCGCTAGACACCACTGCTGCACTGTGGTTGTGAACCAAGCCCTGCAGCTGTAGGGTGGCAGAGGAAAAATGTCAGGGAGGGAGGAAGAGAGAATGAGAACCACTGGCTTGCAAGTATTCAATGCATAAAGCAGTTAATTGAATTAATGAGTACATATCTGAAGAAAATGAGTAAAATACACTTTGAAGCAGCTGGTCATGTAACGCAGAAACTAGTCTTAATCAGTCTTGTTCTTAGCACGCAATTTGAGACTGATGAAAATAATGCAGGCCAAAATACTATGCCAGATTTGTGAAATAATTCTGAAGATCCCCTGTCATCATATTGTCTAAAGATTAAGAACAGATCATTTTACTTCAAAAAGAACCAATCTCTCGAATAATAAAAGGCTTCAAAAACCTTTTGGAATTTGCCTAATTTTCAGCAATCTTGTAAAAAATTGAAGCAAAGAAGTGAAGATTAATTTCAGTTGTTTTCCATTTTTGGTGAACCTGGACAAAACTTGTCTGTCCTGGGGGGTGTGTTTTGGATGAATTGTTTTGGGGAAGTTTTTGAAGAGGTAGAAAAAGCAAGCTGAAGTGATTTAGAAATTTTTAAAAGCTTGTCATCCTTTATTGCTATATCTGAAATCAAATTGTCAATTAGCTTTATGGTATCTTGATTGTGTATCCCATCCTGTTTGACCAACACAAGACTGTTGAAAACACACATCATTTTACTACTCAGGCCAGTTACTCAGCCGGGGCCTGATCTTACATGTGAAGCTACCAGGGCCCTTGTTTTTGCCAAGTTCATGTGTGGTATTGTCTCATTAATGCTACTGGTAATTCCTGTACACCAGTGTTGCTACTGTCATGTTGGCGTTGAAACCTGTGATCTGGAAACTGTAGAAGCTGGACCCTTCTGGGAATGAGAGCAAGGCAGGCATCTGCCCTGGCCCCATCATTAGGAGGGAATTTTCTGAGTCAATTACAGACTTGGCAAAAAGCTGCGGATCGAGGTTCTGAAAATGCTTTAATTGTAGTGAGACTTCAGAATTTCTTCAAAATGAGCTACATAACAAAACCTTATAAATATTCATCATCTTCAGACTTGCCTGATTTGGCATGATTAGTTGTTCTTAATAACTTGGTAGCACTGATTAAATCATTGCGGGTCTTTGTAGTTGGAGCTTTTGTGTATAAAGTAATATGCTGAATTTCTGATGAGTTTAAAACTGATAAAACATGTTAACATTTTGAGCAGTTTATCTCCTTATGCAGTCTATCTGCCAGTGTATGCAATCAGATTTATTTAGATGAGCATCAGGAATGTGTTGGGATGTTATACATTCTCTAGCTTCGTGACAAGTGAATTCACAGAATATTGATGCTTTATGGATGTTGAATAATATGAACTGTTTTAATCTCTAAATGTGTGAAAGAAGGATTGCTAGGTTTGTCTACTGATGAACCTGTAACCTCAAAGATTTATGCATAGTCTCCCGAAGTATCTTTTGTGGTAATGGTCACCTGAGTTGATTTAACTTTTTTTTTTTGAGATTACTCTTTCTCTAGTCCATTTTCTTCATTACATTTCTGGTAACAACTTAGTAAAAACATTTGTCTGATTTTTAGGAAAAAAACTGTATTGGCTACAGTTTAGTCTAAAAAATAACTTTTAATTATAGCATATAAGTGAATCGAGAAGTTAAGAAAGGAGGTAGATTTTTCGTTGACTTACCAGTAACGTCGCTGTTACACACACAAGGGTGTCACAATGCCATCAGATTCTACTGCTGTTGTGAGGAGAGCTAGGTGTGAGGGATGAAGAAGGAGGGGTGAAGACCTGTGGAAGAATGGAGATTTATTTTATTGTTGCAAAGCCATGAGCTTGCAACTGAAGAAGTTCATACACTCCTCCAGAGTGCTGCTCAGTTTGGTGCTATCATCCCTGTGACAGAGGTGAGAAAACACTTGCTCTTTCCCTCCAGGTATTGCAGCTGAAGGAATCTTCATGTAAGTTACTAAGAACTGTAAACCAAGATGGATTAGTAAATAATACAGAGCACATGTTATCAATGGTAGCTCCTTTGCAGGACAGAGCAGAGGGAAGCTTTGGCTCAACAAAGGGTTTGCCTCAGTCTGGCAAATGGTGGGCAATTAAGTTTGGAATTAAAAAAAAAACAAAACCACTAAAAAGAAATTGGCATAGATAAAATACAGAACTTGGAACAGGTGCAAAATGTGAGATTGAACATTACTATAGACTTTGTATAGTTTCAAAGACAGAGTTAGAACTTAGTAACAATTGTATTGCAGTCAGCATGACATACCAAGTGTATTCAGAAGACAGATGAAACATGAGTTGACAACGAGTAATTCAGACCTTAGTATATAGAAGTGTAACCTTAAAGTGAGTATATTGCAACACCCACAGGTGTGTCCATAGAAGTAATTTGCGTTCAGTTGCATAAAAACTTCAAGCAAACCCCAAATGTTAAGGCAACTGATATAAATTGAAAGCAAGTATAAAAATCTGCTGAGCTGGTAGCTGTTTATTGCCGTTCATACGGTTAGTGCAAGCTGATTAGTGTTTATAGCCTTTTCATCTGGCTCTGACCTATGTACCAGCATTTGACTTAAATATGTGCAGCCTGTCATGGCAAAAAAACCTTGAAAAGCGCTTTGGAGTTGGTGCTTTGGGGGTCATATTTTCATTAGCTAGTTACATTCTTGCGTTGAAGCAACCCTCAGGAGTTTTTGTTAATTGGTTCTCAGATATGGTGCTTTAATTGTTCAAACATTGAACTAAGATTTGACTACACTGGCTAATTTTTAATTAAAGTAAGTTTACTAAAATAACTTCGAAAGATTAAAATAGTTGGGCAGAATCATATATGACTTAATCCTGTTCTGTAATACCCTGTTTGCAGGTGGAACCTGGCATCCCCAGAGAGCCTTGCTGGTTCCAAGGGACTGCCTGCCTGGAAATCATTACAAAAATGAGGCCTCGAAGAACAGAATATGATTTTACTTCAAAGTGCTATAGTTTAAAATTCAGCATCTGTTTTAACTGATACTTTTCTTGTACCAAGTGAAGTAATTTTGATGAGGAGGAAGAATGTTTAATATTTCCTAGTTATTGAACAGGGACACTGCTTTCAGTTCAAACATCCCCATTCTTTTCTCTTGTTCATTCTAGCTCTGTCATCTTGCCACCTGTAATTTTTGAGCCAGTGGAAGAATTCCCAGTGCCACAGTAATGCTCTGTATTTGTTCCTGCTGTCTTTGCTTTATTGGATCTTCCTCTGTTGCTTCTGTTTTGTGAGAGTAGTATGACAATATTTCTTTTAATGGTGTTTTTGTTAGGGTAGTAGCTCTGCAATAAACATAGATCTAGTTTGTGTATGAATTTCTTTGCTACTGACCATTAGCATTCAATGCTAACTGTAATGACAGCATAGCAAGTAGATACAGCACATGTACTTCAGGACAGCGTCTGAACATGATTTTAGGAATTAAGGTACTTCTCAAAAAATACAAGAAATATAGAATTCTTTCTGTTTCCATTACATTTTTTCCTGTGGTCAAAAGCAGTTCTATTGTCAAAAAGTGGTTTGTAGTGGTTTAGGATTTTTGTGTGAAAGAATGGAAGATGGTATTGTTATAAAGCAGTTGCACTTAGAGAACTTAAAAGTTGCATAGAAAAGCAGTCACGTGAGAGAATGTTTAATTATATGTCTTACAGTTTACTCCTTAAGAAAAAGTAATTGTATAAATATCTTAAGTGAAATTTTCTGGCTATTGTATTGTAACACAGCACCAGCAGGAACAGTACTTAAGCAGGAAGGTATTGGTCTTGTTCTTTTGACACATTGTCTTCCAGGAGTATTGCATAGCTGATCTGCTCTTGCTTTTATATGTGTTGTTTGGTACTACTGTTTAGTTTGCAGGGCAATAGTTGTGGGTTAATCATGCAAACACATTTGAAGTTGAAGAGAGTGTTGCCTTCGCAGTGCCCATTGAAATAACAATGAAGACTGAGGCATAAGTTTAAGTCCTTGGTTTGAAGGCTTAATTACTGATTTTGACCTTTTGAAAATTGTAGGTTTTTCCTGTATTGAAATTTGACTACCAAGCTGCAGGTAGCCTGCAGAAACAGGGAATGATAATAAAATGAAGTGGAGGTGTACAGCTTCACAAGACATCAATTGAAATCTCACAAGATTTCACAGAAGCTGCGTAATTTGATGAATCACATTGGAAAGATGAGTCATCTGAAAAACAGTAAAGTTCTGTGACTTAATGACGTGGTGTAGAAATAACAAGGAGATATCAGATGGCAAGGAAATTGTATAACATTAAAAAAAAACTTGAGAAGTTTATGTGTGTCTTATGATAAGCAACCAGTATCTTAATGAGATGGAATATTTTAGCTGAAAACCAAATGATAGGTGTTCCTTAGCAGAGATGAAATCAGGAGATTCAAAGACCTCCTTGCTCTCCTACATACTTACACTTGTCAATCCAATAGAATTGCGTGCAAGGGAAATACAATTAAGAACAGTTTAGTTACTGGTTTTCACCTATGAAAAGTAGTATCTCTTCTGAGTTCATTAATTTTACACAGTACCTTAAATTCAGTAGAGCATTTCTACTTAGGACTCTGAACTTTGAACAAGGAGGCATTTTTGAAATCATAAACATGGATTATATCAGTGATGTTAATGCAGACAAACATAGACGTTGCCATACTTGGAGTATCATTTGTTTCTGAATGGTATCTGCATTTTTTCAGAGGAAGGAAGCCCGTAGATACTCTAAGCAGGATTAGCCTGAGTACAGGGTTAAACTGGTGGATAAATGACAGGTTTAAATGAGAATGTAGACATTGAAATTTAAATTCAGCATTTCAGTTACTGTTTAATAATTATGTTTGCACCTTTTTTTTAAGTAATTCGTAGCGTGAGAAACATGTTTTACTAGTGGAAGTGTTTCCTTCTAAAATGCACTGAGCTGCACGTTTTTAAAAGTTACTTCATATTGTTTATGGCTCTTGCTTAAAGACATTCAGATTCTGATTATTCACTGATGCTTTCTCTGCTCGGTGCTTCTGGTTTTTTATTGGGATTAAAATTCCTGTTTGTAATTTTGCTTTTTTTTTCATATAAGGGTGTATTATAACTTAAGGCTATTTAAAAGTTCCAAAGTAATCTTTTTATGTCTTTCAAAAGTATTCAAAGATCTCATGCTTACTTTACTGCTTTTTTGTACAATAATACCTTCTCCGGTTTACATATATGACTCCTTCCTCAAGCATAAATCCAGTCTTACACAAACTTTCACTCTGCTACAGGTAAAATCTTAATTTTCTGTTTGTGAAACACTTTTTCACTGATTCTACTGTAGACCTGTTCATAAACTTCCTATCCTTAACATGCTGTTAATAATGAGCTGTTTATCAGCCTTTTTATGATACATAACACCAACACTGATGACTATGCATCTGCTGGCTTCAAGTCGGCTGTTGTTTTTATACCATAGAATCATAGAATCACATGAATAAATGGGAAGGAGATAATCCAGAGGGACAGTAGCTCACAAACTGCCTCCTATTTTAAGAATGATACGATATTTTAGGAAGGAGATTTTATTAGCTGACTCCCTTTTTCATTTGAATTTTAAACTGTAAATTAAATATATAATGAGATTTTCTTTTCCAAAGTTTTTTGTTGTGTATCCGGTAACATTGAGTATGCAGTTGATTTGCTAGCTATAGAGTTAGTTAAAATGTTGTGACTCAAGACCTGAAACAATAAGTACTTTGAGAACTGTGCAGTCCTTCATGTCCCACATCCCATACGGTCTTAAAGCTTGTATGTAGTCTTAAAACTTGGATGAAGTTCCATGAACCAAACAACCTGAAAATGGAAAAGTAAATTACAGTGAAACTCCTTATTATCTATGTGATACTGACAGGACCATACAAAATTTCTCATGCCTCTGTGTATGTGTTCTGGTGGGGAGTTAGGCCCGGATCTGGTTTTCTTTTTAGGTTAAATTAGTTCAGCTATGACTAATGAAGCTCATGTAGTAAGTTACTTGGCAATATGGCAAGCAACATTTCACCACAGGAGTTTGGTTGGTACTATATAACAGGCCCCATTCTAAAACCCTTCTTGTAAAACAGGGTTAGAATTCAGTGGCTGTTAAATACTGGAATACACCACATGCTTGGCTCAGAGCATAGCGCTCTGATTTCCCATTTCTGGGGTTTGCTTATTTGTGTGTGTGTATGTGTGTGGTTTGTTTGGGGTTTTTTTGTATTGTTTTTTGTTTAACATGCAGCCAGGTGGTTCCACTCTACCTCCCCAAATATCCCAATCTGAATGTCTCACCTTTTCACTTGGTATTTTAAAAAAATTGAATAACCAGAGTTTATAATTTTAGAATCAGACTTAGTTTCTTAGCATTTCCAAATTGTGCTGTTAAAGAAGCATGTCTCATAGCATGTCTGTTAAACTAATAGTGGAAGTTTAAACATGTGAGACAGTCTATTCCTGTTTGTCATGGCAATTCTGCAGTGTGTGTGTATTTTTATGGCAATATCATAAATGGTGTCACACTTTCTTGCTTGAGTGTACAAATCCAGTGGTTTACTAGTCAAATTCTGTTTATCTGACAATCGCAAAGTTACAACATTCATAATATAACCACCAATTCAGACACATGAAATATTTCCCTGTAGCCTGAAAGTATACTTGAGAAAGCAATGTATGCTTCATTTGATTTCATTTTTATCATAATTGAATAAGGTGGATGATATTTCTATACTAAGGTGGGTTTTTTTAATTAACATTAGTATGAAACTTGAAACATTCAGTTATGTGGTCTACAATTTTATCACGTTGCTTGGTCTTTGGGGTTTGTTTTTGTTTTAACAGCAGTATTTCTGAGGATTGAAACTATACTTTTAGGCCAGTTCTGTGAGTTTCGTGCAGAACTAAATTTCATGCTGTCAGTATCGCCCAGTATTCTCTAACATAAAATTAAAATTATAGCAGGGCTTAAGTGAAAATAGTAAGTGTCATTTCTTCTTTTTTCTTTAAGGTTTCAGAAAGAGACAAACAACAAAATGAACAATCCAGCTATTAAGAGAATAACAAATGAAATTATCAAATCACCTGAGGATAAAAGAGAATATCGTGGACTGGAATTGGCAAATGGCATTAAAGCTCTTCTCATTAGTGACCCCACCACAGATAAGTCTTCAGCAGCGCTTGATGTGCACATAGGTATTTAATGCATGCTGTGTTCACTATGTCATTAATAAATATGCTTTAAGTTTTGGTATCTTAACTGCAAATAAAAGTGACAGGAATGCTATCCAGCTGGCAGCCTAGCCTTTTATTGTAATTTAGAGTTTGTTTAGTTTTTTGATACACAAAGTTGAAAATTATTAGAGCTAATTGAATTCTCTTATTGTACACTGTGTTTACTCAAGTGTAGCTCAGTCAGTAGAGAGACTTCTTTTAACCATTAAGTTTCATGTTATGAAAGATCTTTTGTAAGCTGAAAAGGAGTGGGTGTGAGTGCAATTATTTCAGACAGCTCCATCTGTCACGTCAGACTTTTTTTTTTTTTTTTTTTTTTTTTT